TAGCTACCCCCTACCTGCATGATGACCTACCCTCCTGCCTGCACACAGCTCCTAGCTACCCCCTCCTTGCACCCTGAGCTACCCGTCTGCACACAGACCCTAACTACCTCCCTCCCTGCACTCTGAGCAGTTTTCAGACTTTTTGAACTGAGCCCCCACTTTGAATTATAATTTTTGGTTGCACCCCCTCCACCCAGACAGGCTGAGTGGCCTGCTGAGGTGAGTTTAGGGTGGAGGTGGCACTCCCTCCCCAGGTCCTGCCATGTGTGCGGAGCTGATATGAGCCCTGCCCCTCCAAAAGAGAAGTCAAACTATGCCTAAATCTGAGGGCCTACCTCCCACCCAGGGGCAAAAGTCCTAGTCCGCCCCCGCCCAGCGGCTGAAGCCCGGAGCCCTGAGGCCCTGCCTTCCCTGGGCCCTGGAATTTTTATAGCACGTTGTGGGAGGGGGTTTCAGGAAGAAAAAGGTTGAGAACCCCTGTCCTAGCCAACCTGAGATGGTAGAAAGTGTTATTCATGGGTACTGCTATGTGAGAGCTTAGCAACAGCATGGAATCCAGGAGCACTCCTAAACTACACACTGAATTGACCAATTATGGGGACTTTCAACCAAAAGAGACTGCACCGTGGCAGAAAACTTCAAAATGCTTTCCTCTGTTCAACATCATTACCTCTGTCTTTCTCAATTTCAGTTTCAAACAGCTGTTCTTCATCTATGAGTTGATTTCTTCCAAACCATCCTGGTGGTCGTGGTGCGGCTGTATGTGGTAAAGGATAGCTGTGTATCATCTGCATATTGCTGGCACTCGAGTCCCTGTCCTCTGACTAGTTCACTTAGTGGTTTCATGTAGATGTTGAATAGGATCGGAGAAAACTGATCCTTGTGGGACTCTACATATGAGGGGTCTAGTGGTGGAGGTAGTTTTTTTCATCACTACTCATTGGGGGTGTCCCTCCAGGAAGGATTCAAACCACTGTAGTACATAACTCTGGACTCTGCCACCTTAACTCTGGCCACAAAAAAATCAATCACTGAAAAAACAATGCTGTGCCTCCTCATTGCAAAACATAAACAACACTGCTATAAACAATAAATTCTAAACCTGATAAATACCACTGCAAACCTCTTTCCTTATATAACAAAGATTTTCCTCCATTAATAGTCATCCAATGCTATCCACTTAAATATAACCATTAACTAAAAACCTACCCCATACCCACCAACCATTTCAATTCTAATTCAACATTCCAAATGTTTAGAAAACATCCACTTTTATTCACTGTATATTATAGGAGTTAAAGGTTGTATGTTTTGTGCAGAGGTGGAGGAAGTAGTTATATATGATGTGGGGTAAGTAGGATAGTTTGGAAATAAAATGATGGTTGTTGGGTGCAAGAGTTGGGTGAGTGCTTAACTAATTATTTTCTAGCTTTTTTTGCGTTTTTTTGGTGGCAGATGTACTTGAGCAACCTTAATATTTTTTCAACAATATATTTTGTTTGATGGAAGTGAATTAAATTTGCATTTTATATTTTTGCCAGAATACCAGAAAAACCCCCATCCATCTGTTGCATGATTTTATGCCTAAACTACTTATACGTTGGGTGTGGGGAGGGCGGAATGACTAGCAACATTCTCCTGCCTAGTATTTGTACTGTAAGTAAGTGCAGGTCGGTAACAGGTGTCCAGAATTGTCCTGGGCCAGCCATTGTACCCTCGCCAGAAGCTCCTGAGGACACAGGTCATCAGCATTTATAGAGGTCACCTAAATTGATAGCTAAGTTAGTTTGATAGTTAATTGCCGCATCCCTTGAATTGCACCTAAAAAGAATGTGTTGCTGGCTGAAAAGAAAATACAATTCATGGTTGCTGACATAAAAAAGTCTAAGGTCTAAAAATATCCTTTCTGCTGGGTTCAGCCCTATACTCCTTTGCAGCCCTGAGTCTGCAAACATGCACATGCTTAACTTTATTACTGCAAGTGTTACTGGGACTACTCAAGGTAGGGAACAAAGTTAAGCATGTGCATACATATTTGCACAGTCAGGCCCCTTAGGGAAGACCCCATATTGCCTACTCTAGATCCCTGTTGAAATAGTAGGAATTTTGTCTGAATGAAGAGTGCAGAATGAATAGGGCTTTTTACCTGCATTACCTACACAAAACACCACACTGTGGACTGTTTTTCTACTAACCATTCACTGTTGGTTCATTAAGCCCCATTTTAGTTTATTGAATGATTGAATTATCTTATACAAAGCACTCAAGTGGCATTTTTGGCAATAGGTGGTACTATTTAAAAAGGATTTTGACTGTAACACATATCCAGTAAAAGAGTGTCTTAAAAAAAACCCAACTAAAATAGAAACATATGAATGCTGTGTCCAAATCAGAAATAGTATACATAGAACGCACACCAGCTTTTTTTGTCAGGAACTCCCCTTGGTTTGACTTCATAGGGAAGGTGGGCAGCTCTGGTAAGGATGGCTGGCTGAAGCACTGCAGCCAAATGCACATACAAAACCACCACCATGCCAGCATTAGAGGGGCAGCAGTGAGAGTGTGACAAGTATAACGGTTAACTAACTTACATTAGCCTAGTCTGATTTTCAGCAATGCTGAACATCCCCACCACCTTCCAGTGAAGGCGAGGATGCGTGGGTGTCCAGTACTTCAGAAAATGAGCAAGGTTAGTCTTGTGGTTATGGTATTACCTTGGGAGGTCTGTTTTAGGCAGGGCTGGCTCCAGGCACTAGCTTAACAAGCAGGTGCTTGGGGCGGCCAAGGAAGAGGGGCGGCACCTGTGGCAATTCGGGGGCGGCAGGTCCCTCACTCCCTCTAGGAGCGAAGGATCTGCCGCTGCCGATCGCGGCTTTTTTTTATTTTTTTGCTTGGGGCAGCAGAAATGCTGGAGCTGGCCCTGGTTTTAGGTTCCCTACTTTGCCACAAACTTCCTCTGTAACCTGGCCTCTCTGTGCCTGAGTTCCCCAGCTGTACAGTGGGGATAATGGCACTTCCCTACCTAACAGGAGTGTTGTGAGGATAAACACATTGAAGCCTGGCAGGTCCTTCAGACACTCCATCCAAGGGGACCACGTAAGCACCCCACAGGTAGACAGCCAGGCCCTCAGTCACTCAAGATATCCTGAACATTTCTGACAATGCAAAGGGGGGAGCTAAGAATATAGGGGCTAGAGCGTAAGGTTTGGGGACTGGCCTAGGATCAGGTGGTTACAGCTTGTATCATACACAAAAGGCTGCCCCGGCCTTTAGCTCTGACCCGGGAACCCTTCACTGACCCCAGTCTTTCCCGAGTGATCGGAAGAGCTTGTGCAAAGCTCCCCAAACTTCTCCAGGCCGGCAGAGCCTTCCCCCCCCCCGCTCTCCCTCCTTCCCTTCCCTTCCCAGCGGGGGTGGCTGGCGGCAATTCCTCCTCTGCCGCCCCTGGGGCAGCTGCGCGCTTCCCCGCACCGCTGCGGCCGCTCTGCCCCGCTCAGGGGTGCTGAATCCGGCGCCCCCTCCCCTTCCCGCGCCTCGGCGTGTCCCCGCTGGCCAGCCCCAGCCGTGACACCGCGGGCTCCGCGGCGGGCCGGCTGGGCACGTCCCGCTCTACGCCTGCGGGGGCCGCTGGCGGGCGCGGGCTAAGCCGCTGTCTGGCTGCTGCCTGCGACAGGCGGGGAGGGAGGGAAAGGTGCTGACTGAGCGGCTCGCCGGCCGGCAGGCAGCCGGAGCACTGCAGAGCCGCACCGCGGAGGCGGGGGAACGGGGACGGCACCTTCCCCCTTTGCAGCGCCGCCTCCTCGCTCCCCGCAGCTCCGCACTCCCGCCGCCCGTCTGCGCCGCGGCACCGCAGCCCCCGCCCCATGGACCCGGGACCCGGGGGGGCAGCCGCGGGGGGAGCGGGGCTCCTCCTGCCCCTCAGCGACACGGAGCAGCAGCGCTACTCCGAGCTCTTCTCGCTCTGCTCGCCCGCGCCCGAGGGGGGCTCGGCGCCAGCCCCAGCCGCCGGGGGGAGCAAAGTGGGCGACTTGTTCAGGGCATCGCAGCTCTCTGCGGACACGCTGCACCAGGTGGGTGAGCCGGAGGGCGGGGCCGCTCGGCTGGCTTGCACCCCTTCTGCCCCACGGGGGGGGCACTTGGGTACCCCAGCCCTTGTGTCCCACTAAAGGGGAAGGGTTGGCGGGAGGTGGGAGGACATATTTCCAGCTCAGCTGAATCTCCTGCCCTGGCTTAGCCTGCTCGGCGTGGGAGGAATTGGGGGGTGTATCAGCTGCACCCTGGGGAGAAAGTTTCCTCTGCCTTTTGTTTTTGTTTATTTGTGTCACTCACGCGCTCTTGTCTTCTCTTCCTCCACCCCCCGCGACCCTCTAGTTATACTGTGTTTTAATACGAAGTAGATAAGCCCGTGGGTTTAAGCAGACAAGTGATACCTCTCGAGAAAGTTGGAAAAATATGTGAACTTCCCTGGGTTGTGCATTAAAATCCTATCACAGGGTGAAACTGTCTGGAGTGCTGGATTTGGGATTTTAGTTGTGTGACAAAAAACGAATTTTTTTTTGTCGTGATCTTTGTCTTTTAAAAAAGAAAGAAAGAAAAGAGGATTTAAATTTTTCATGAGTATTGTTGGTAAGATTGTATGCTGTGTGTTATTGCTTTTAAAAAAAATGTTTAGGTTGTTCTGAATGTAGCTATCCAGAAAAGTTAAACACTACTCAGAGTATTGTATGCCACTGAATCCATATGTGCTATTTAACCAGCTAATATTTAATGCATTGTAAGTGCTAAGTATTCTGAATATTTGTGTTATTATTAGGATTCCGAGATTTTTAACTGGAATGGAGTATTTGGTAACTTTAGCTAGTTTAATCCCTCTTCTTTTACTCTTTCAATAGTCTAGAGAGTCTGAAACAAATGAGTATCCCACTAACTGTTGAAGGTATATAGTCAGCTGAAGACTGTTTATTGTTTGCTATATAATTCTCTGCTACCAGCTCTAAAAATATTTGTAGCAGTAAACTTTGCACTGTCACAATTGTACATAGCATTTTTTGAGACAGCTTTGTATTTGACATGTATTTTTGGCAATCACAAATATGTAATCAGAACTTTTTTTTTTAATCTGCCCTAAACTGTCTTGTAATATTGCGATAGTTGTTCAGTAGCTGCTGTTTCATTCACTAGGTGTTTACGTATTAGTAGTGGGTGATATGAGCCCTTTGTATTGTTTGCGCATCAGTGTACATGAACAGTCATTCGGGATCCCTTGGGATGAATGCAAGATTATTTGTTATCCTTTGGGGGTATATATGCAATATTATTTATTTTTACATAGACTAAGACTTTAAACAAATTAAGTATTATCATAAATTTCATTAGACATATTCCTAGATCAGCTTTGATTACCAAAATAAATATAATAAAAATGTTGTGTATCCCAGGTTTGTGAATCATACTGAGTATATTTTATTTGGGGATTGTCACAAAAAAACTTAACAATACAACATTTAAAATGTATGTAAATACAAAGAGTAGACAATTATATTATGTATGCTTACAAATGATGAAATTACCTTATATATAGTAAGCAGGTCTTAATTCTTCTTTTCCACCTGCGGAATAATAATTTTGATTAGCTCAGTCTAGTAGCACACTCCGGTTAGTAATAAACTAAACCTAGGAAGAAAAACACCAAACTTGTATTTTGTTGTCAGGAATTTAAGAAATGCTGTTATTCAGAAATCCTTGTTATATATCAAACAGAAACAAATAATGTCAAGACTAAGTTGACAAACAGGTATAACTGGCTGTGGCCTGCAGGGACTAAACTGTGTCGTTTCCCTGGAAACAGTCAGGCCTTCTCTTAATAAGCATTTAATTTGGATTTACATAATGTCCAGGAGATTCTGAAGTACAATAGGGGAAGTTACTTCCATGACCAGATGCCCTCCACTGTTCCAGGTGCTGCTTACTTAATAATATCCAGAGAAAAAATGTTGCCAGTCATTTGTAGTACCACTGTTGGGAGTCAAAGGGTATGTCTACACTGCCCACTCACGGTGGTATGTAGAGTACATACACTGCATGCCCCCCTGGTATGGGTATAAACAGCAGTGTAGAGGTGAGAGACTGCTTAGGTGAGGAGGGTACAGACACGCCAAAACCTTAGGGTACATGCCCTACATGACTCTCTATGCATCCAAGCAGTGCCTACCCCATCTACACTGATATTTTTTAGCAGTGTTGCCTCCTGCTGCCTTTCCACTGCTGGAACTTTCTCCACTGCCAGAGCCTTTTACTGCCATGTCTAGCTACGCATCGCAGCGTGGACGCAGCCTGCGTTCTGCTGCAGTGTGTAGCTACAAGTATCCTACGCACTGCTACAAGTGTAGACAAGGACAAAGTGTGTTTGGATCTGCCATGATTCAGTGGGGCTCCTTATGAATGCTTGCAGGAATTCACTCACCTGGATCTAATTGCAGGGTTCGGGCCTTAAATTTACTAACATTTGGGAAAGAGGAAAAAGAATTTCAAACAAGAAAGAATGCTTAAGGAACTTATTTTTAAAAGGAAAACTGGATTGATAATCTTGAAGTTACTTATATAAATCAAATCTATTATTGATTTTTCTTAATACATTTTTATTCCATAGCTCTTATTTTAGCATAGTATATTAGTACTGTATCGTTTGAGTGTGATTTATTATAGTATTGCACGCATTTTCTTGCTCTGGGATGTGACTTCAGCTGGCAACATTTTGTGATTTTTACTTGTTTATTTTAGAATTCTTTCCAGGTCCTTATGATGTACAGAGAGGTTCATTCATAAACTGGTTTATAATTGACTTCGCTAGTACTACTTGTGTGAGTAAACTTGCATCCTGCAACTGGATCCACACAAGCGAACCCCTGCACACTTGCCCTGCCCCAGTGACTTCAGTGGGGCATCCATACAAGTGAATCCTTGTGCCTGAATGGGTCCAGTAGCAGGATCTCGCCCTTTGTGCTTGCAGGATGAGTCCCCCCTAAATTAGCAGTCTGTTATAACTAAAGGCTTTGTAAAAGTTGTTCATGTGACCATATTTATAACAATTGAGGCAGGCTTTATCATCAGTGTCCCAAAGTTTTCCATAGAGATGGACTTTCTGGGGAGTTTATGAAGATGGATCAAAAAATAACAGTAACCAAGAACTTCATAAAAAAGAGAACTGAAAAAGTAAAATTGCTTTCTGTCACGTTCAGATAAAAATAATTAGTTAAGTCAAATATTCTGTCTTTCTAGATCATCTGTAGTAACAAGACCATCTTCATTAATTCACAAAATCAAAATATGATCAACCCCAAACTACAGTTTTGTAAGTCTTTTCACAACGCTGAATTTCTTAATTGGCTATGGATCAAAGCTTAACTATAGTTTATCATGTTTTAAAATCTAGTTTCTCAGAGATTTTGTCCTCAGGTTTTATTTACAGTTAATGAAAATAAAGAAATTCTCAAGTTCAGATTCTTACACAGAACACTAATTCAGTCCTCTAATTTTACTCTGAATTCTTTCTGTTGGCCATGCTAGCAACCACCCCCATCAAAGGTGTTAGCTAACATGTTGAAACTCCAGGAAAAAAAATAATCTAACAAAGAAAAACTTTGGAAAGTTGTTGCAAGGAAAGTGTTATAGTTGGTTTTCTGAATTATTTTTCACTTTGCATGCTTTAAGAATGATAAAAACAATTTGATCAGTTTTTATCCACAGAGAATACAATGCTGGAAACATAAAATAAAACAGTGGTGTATAATATGTGGTTGCCAGTGATAAAGGTTGCACCCATTTTAGGAAGAAATGGCTAGCTTGTGTTAATAGATAACTTGTTTGTTTTGAAATAGTTGTTTGACAACAGGACTTTTACTTTTTTTATTTAAAGGAAGTTTTCGTGCTTAGTATGCACGCATTTATACTGCCTCATGGAGCTAGTAGTACTGGTTGTCGTTGCTATGTAGGAGACATAGATTGGAATCCTATGCTCCAGTTCTGGATTGCAGTTAAACTGAGCTCTGCATAGGCCAGAACGTGAAGGTGCTTTATGTATGTTTGCGCGCCTCAGATTCTGTAGACAGATAGGTAGACCCTCCCCCTGGGCCTCCTACGATAAAACAAAATTAACAATAAATTATAAAAAATAATATAATTTTTCAGGGCTCTACAGATAGGGAATGGAGAAGTCTTCAGCTTGAGCTAGAGTAGCTGTAGGGATTGCTCTAATTTATATTGTACTGCTATGGCAACCTCAGGAAGCATCGGGTAGTTCATAATAGCTAGAAGGCAGTATGTCCTGGCCTGCTTCCTTCTCCCTCCTCTCAGGAGGCCACTATGCGGTGTGGACTGTGGAGAGACTCAGCATTAGGGCCATTTTGATAATTCTATGCCATTTAGAAATCTTCCTTATGCTGCAGGTATATTCCATGGGGTTTGGTTTAAAATGGTTTGGGGACTTCTTTTGCCCGTAGAGCTGGCATACAGGGGCCACAGCAGAGGCTAGAACATGTGCCCTAATCTCTTGTCTCTAAATTGCTGGCCTTCTGGGGTTTGTAGTTGTGGAAAAAGTGTGATAATTCTTTGAGGGGGCAGGGAACCTTATACAGCCATTACTTTTCTGGTTGATCACAGCATAACATTTTGAGCTTGAAGGGAAGTTTCTTCCTTCCTTTCTTGCCTGTAGTGCTATGGCTTGTGTAACAGGAGAAAAAAAGAGGTAGGGATGTTGTCCACAGAAATCCATCAGGTAATGTAGATGAAGTAAAATTGATATTGTCAGAGAGTGAAATGCTAAAAGAGGAAATGCTGGGGAAAAATGAATTGCTAACAAACATGCAGTCTCATTAAAATCAGCTACAATGCTGGGGAAATTGTTGCATACTTTTTTTTTTTTTTTTTTAATTCTTAAATGGTGTTAGTCAGTTTTGTGAATTATACCAGTAAGCCTCACTTCAGTAGTAGAAAAGTGGTTGAAATTAGGATAAAAATAGAATGATAAATCACCTAGATGAACAAGATATAAAAGGGAGAAACCAGCGTGGTA